TTATAATTTAATTTTTAATAAAATATAACAATGTCCGCTAAAATAGTTTAAATATTGAATAAAAAGTATTAAATTAATATAAAAATAAAATATTAAAATTATAAATTAACATAAATTGTTAAATTATATTTATAAGAATTAAAAATAAAGTATTTTAATTTATAAATTTTTATTGAATATAATTTTTTTTAAAATATTTTAAATTAAATTTGAAAAAAAAAAAAATAGATCGATTGAAATCAGTTTGGCTATTTTTTACTGGTTTGACCAATTTTAACTTATTCTATCAATTTTAAAGTTCAATATATAACGTTTTCTAATTGGATTGAACCAATTAAGAATCAGTTGTATAAAAACAAGTTTTTAGTATCACGTCACTTGATGAGAACAATACAAAAAGGATAAAGGGAACGTGTAACCTTTCATATGGCTCTATCTTCTATATTCTTGATTTCTCTACCAACTTTGGTGCTTCTCATGTATGAGTAGTTGAATTCCATTTTATTGGGGTTGATTGAACTTTATGTATTTACTTTTAACTCATTAATCTATGTTCTACCTTGTTATTTCTTTACTTTATATTCTTTGTGGTTCAATCATTCATAAACTGATTTTTTTAGCTTGAGGAGTAGTTGCAAAAATCTTTTTAAACTTGGAACTGAAGTGAAACCCAGTAAACACTATACCTATAAATGAGATTTGGTTTACTAGTCATCTTTTAATCCTTTCTCTTGATACAAGTTCTTTAATTAGTTATCTATAAGGGATTCGGATATGACCATAAATCGCTTGTTCCATTTACCAATCCTTCTTGGCTCATGATAAACACACCTCCACTCTCCTATAAGCACACCCCCTTTTAAAAAAAAATATATATAAAATGTCTAAATTACCCTTAAAAAAAAAAAAATTCCTAAATTTACACCCCTCCTTCCTCGCACCCCCTTCCTCGCACCCCCATCCCGCATGCAGAACGGGCCGTACTGAAAGCAGAACGGGCCGTACTGTTTTCAGTACGCCCCGTACTGCAAGCCGTACGTCATGTTCTTCAATCAGTACGGCCCGTTCTGCAAGCAGTACAGGCCGTTCTGCTTGCAGCAAGGGCCGTTCTGGGGCCGTTCTGTTGCAGTACAGGCCACCGCGTCACTTTTAAAATGGCTACCTTATGACTGATTTTAAAACCCCGATTTTAAAAGTTATTTTTGTACTAATCTTTCTTTTCATAGAACAAGTAAGAGTCTTTCTCATACAAAATCACTTGCCGACATTGCGCACCCCTCTTCTTTCTCTTTCTGGCACTCCTCTTCTTCTTCTTCTTACTGTTACGAAAAGTTCTTTCCGGAATTATATAAAAATGTTCCGGAAAATACTTTCCATAATATTAAATTCTTATTCCGGAAAGTATTTTCCGGAAATATTTTGTTATATAATTCCGGAAAGTATTTTCCATAATATTAAAGTTACTATTACGGAAAGTTCTTTCCGGAATTATATGAACAATAATTTCTATTCCGAAAAGTACTTTCCGGAATGCTAATGACTGTAAAAGTACTTTTCGAAATGCTATGACTGTAAAAGAACCTTTCTTATGCTGATTATGGTGGGACTAGTCCTTTTTTTCTATTCAGAATGACTGTAAAAGTATATTGCTTAATAACATTGAGCGGAAAGAGGCTTTGGGAAGAAGAGGGGTGTGAAATGTGGGGTGCGGGGAAGGAGGGTGGGGGAAGGGAGGTGTAAATTTAAGAATTTCATTTTTTTTAAAGGGTAATTTAGACATTTTATATATTTTTTTTTAAAAAGGGGGTGTGTTTATATGAGAGTGGAGGTGTGTTTATCACCGGCCACCCTTCTTTTATGAACAATATGTTTGAAACCCAATTACCAACAACAGAAAAAAGAGGAGGAAGTAAAAGCCCAAATGATCTGACCCAAACACACAAGCCCGGCATGCACAGTCCAGTGCAATCCTAATTGATTAATAATTATTAATCGAAAGTGAACAAAAACATGTGGATTTTTTTTTGGTAAATTTGTGGCTAAAACTCCAACAAAATCAATTAAACTCAAAAAGGTAAAAACAGAAGCTACATCAACATTTACAAACAAAGTAAAAAATGACATAATATTATTAAAAATTCTTGAACTAATTAATATATGACACCAGCACGTTACCACTTGCAATACCGAAAGATAAAATATGTTGTACCAAAAGTGATACGATTCACAACCTTTTTGAAGTAAGGTTATCGCATTTAAAGAATCAGATTTCACCAACAATGTTCTATTTTAAAAACATGTGGAATTAATACCGAATGTTGATATTCTATTTTTAAAAATATTTATATTTAATTTAAAATAAATATAAAATATATTAAAGGTGATAAAAATTAAAATAAATCTTAAAAACACTCTTATTAAATAATAGATAGTAAAAATGCTCTTACTAAAGACAATTATTTATATTTATATTTATAAAGACTTCCTATTAAAAATAATTAAAAATATTATTATTTTAAAAAATATAACTTAAACAATAAAAAAATTAAATTAAATTTGAACATATTGATGTGAACATATATTTTTATAGTGTGTTTTTTTATATATATTTATGTTCTTGAAAGTGTAACATATAGATCACATTTTTATGTAGTATTCATCTCATTAAATAATAATTGATGTTTACTTATATAATTTTTTACTAAATGCATTTAAATTTATACTTAAAATCTAACTAATTCATATTAATAACATTAGAATCAATTTATATATAACGTATATGGAAAATTAATTAATTATATTTAAAATAAATAATAGGTAAATCACCATTATATTTAAATAAAGAGAAAATAGTTTAATAGAGTAAAATTATTATAAATTATTATCCAATCATAGATTATGTCTATGTATATATATTTTAAAAAATATATAAAAAATATTGTTATATTTTAATAAATTAAAATTGCAAAAGGTTAACTTTTATATACTAGCGAGAAGTTGAGAAAGCAACGGGACAAAAATGGTTCATTTTACATTTTTTAAAAATAATATCCAATATAGTAAATATATTAATTTGTTATATGAATCTATAATAACTTATATGTTAAAAAATAGTAAATATAGTATTTTGTAATATAAATCCATAATAATTTACATATAAGAAATTTTATTTACATTTTTGAAATCATATATATATATATATATATATTGAAATATATAAAAAAAAATATTGTTACATTTTAATAAATTAAAGTTGCAAAAGGTTAACATATATAATAGTGGTTGAATGATAAATAATAAATTAAAATAATTTAATTTTAATTTAAAAAAATTGCATATCAAAATATGTTGGAGGAAAGTTTTGAAAGAAAATAATTATTGCAAAACCTATTTTCTTTATATATATATATATATATATATATATTATAGATTTTTATGAACAAATAAATGTCATTTGATCCTTTCCTCTGTGATAAAACATTTTTTTAATAAAAATCAATAATTATAAAATATAATTTAAAATATTTTCATTATTTCTGTCAAAATATACAATAATTAATTTTATGCATATATTTAAGTTATATACAAGTTAAATATTTTTTTTTAAAATGTTTATACAAAATAAACTAATATAAATATTGGAAATAATATTTATACAATAATTTGCATATATATTTTTTATTTATCTCTACATTATTAATAAATAAAATGTAAGTATATAATTTGTCGATTTATATTAAAAAAAATCATTACTTTTTATATGCTTTTCCAAAGAAGTCTAAAACTATATAATGGGGAGAAACATATAAAAATATATATATTGTATAAATTTTTGTGTGCATATCATTATCCTAAAATATTTTTCTCACTAAAATTGATTTAGTAGACTAAAGTTTGAATAATTTGTTGACGGTATTAAATTTAAATTCGTTAACATAATTATACAAAAAATATATATAATAGATCTGTAATTATTTATATATAGATGTAAATATTTAATTATGGATTTTTTTGGACCAACTTATGATGTAAATTATGGGTTTGTTAATGATTCTTTAATTTGTTTTTGACCCCATTAAAGGCATAAACATTGCTCAACAGTAACACACGTCTCATCTAAGAAAGGAAAGGAAGGATTCAGATCTATCCTAAAGTTCTGGATTAGAAAGAAAGCAAGCTAATTTATATAATTATATCCCTATTGGTAGAAAAAACACGATAAAAAAGAAAAAAATCATTGGAAGAGAAAAAAAGGAAGAAAGCAATTGTCAAGTCGTCTGTTCCGTGGGTGCAGACGACCTGTCTTGATCGCCAAACAACCTTCTAAACATCAAATAATAAAATCAAGTTTCGATTTTTGATCTTTGTTTTGTTTCTGAACCATGGAGGTGCCGAGTTCCTGGGATGCCCTTCGCAAACAGGTTCCAAAATTTTCCCCTTTTCATGTTTTTTTTGCTAGATTATGCTTCTGATTTGGTTGCAAATGATAAAATTGATATGGGCATGCATAATTCGAGTGCCCAGCTCGCCAAAGTTTCGAAATTTTCCATTTTAGGCTTTCTTCGTTTTGTCGGTGACAGGGAATTCGTGGGATCGGGGATGGGATTCGGCCCTTTTGATATCTGTGCTTTGAAAATGGTTTGATTTATTGAGTTACAGGTTTTCGGGAGTGGGAAACCCTTCTTTTTTTTTCTTTTTTTTTTCTATGGAGATGTTTTAGTTTTTGAATTGTTTATCGATCGAATTATGAATGTTTGAAATGCTTCAGATGTGAATGTTGTTTCTAGATTTAGGTTCGCTTGATAGGTTAGGAACACATCTGATTTGTTGCATTGTGATCTACATCCTCACTCCACAGAGAGTGAATTTCGGTTAGACAAAGATCGTCTGAAGGTAATTGGGGTTGTTGTAACTAGTAACAAATGCTGTGATAACCAGGTGATCATAGATTATGTAGGATATTGTTTTGTGCTTTTACAACAAAGGAGCCCAATGATTTTATTTGCTTTACTATCTCAGGCTTTTCAAAATGAATTCTATCTAACTTTACTCCAATGCTAAACCAATCAGGCACTCAAATCGAGATTCAAATCGTGAATATCCAAGCCAATTTTTGAATTGTAAAATTCAAAGACTGAAAAATAACTAAATATATGGTATAGATAACATATAGTGTTCAATGTAATAGATAAAAACAACTTAACTAGAAGTCTCATAAAACAGATATTAGCTGTATCCGAGTTTCTGAAGCCTCCATTTCCGAAGAATGGAAATGGAGAAATGAAACAACCAATTAGAGTGCATGCATTGAAAGTAGTGGAATAATCAAATAGGATAATTTCAGAAGTGCTCTTTCAATTCCTTTTCACTTAACAATTTAAGCTTATATGACTTTGGGTGTGTTTGGGAACCCTTTTGTATCAATGCAAACAGTAATTTATATGCACTGAATTAAGAAGCAAGAATTCTTGTCATTTCCGTTCAATTTGGTTTTGTTGATTTTCAACGATAAACCAAACTTGCACTTCACAATTTATTTCAAAAGAATTGGGAAAAGAAAATAAATTATTGAATCGTGTGATTCATATCAATTATATAAAATTGCATTGATTCATTCATATATTGTAAGATTCTAAGTCACTTGAGATTCATCTTATGATACGAATAGATAGCTAACTGAATCGCATCCAGTTGTATGATTCAAATTGTGAATCGTAGGATTTTAATAACAATTCTTAGTAGTTAAGTTGTAACAATTTCCACCGATGGTTTATATGTACTGATGGTTAAAATTATTAGTTTTTTAGATATGTTTGTTGATGCCTTTTCTCTGTCCATACAGACAGGGAATGGGATAGAATGTTAATTTTGTCAAAACTTACAATACAGACAGAAAACCTCCCAGGTTTTTTTACAGCGAGTGTAATTGCTAGAGTCCTGATGGAAAGCTTATGTAATAGGGAATTGTATTTGTACAAATTATGTACAACAAAGTGAGAGATGGGAAGAGAAGAGAGACAAATGAGAGATAAGATGGTTGATGTAACATTGAGAGAAAAAAGTAGTGTTATATGAATGATATATCTCTACATAATATTATGGAATTTTAGTTGTGTTAGTTGTTTATATATTCAAGATTGCTTCATGTATATTGTATAAGAATATATAAATTAACCTTTTGGGACATTAAGTTCTCCCATCATGCAAGTGTGGGCAATAAGTTGAACTGTTTTGATTCCTGTGCAAGTGTTCTTCAACCTGTTAATGACATGGTTTTCATTCCTTAATCATAATAACATGATCATCATAGTAATGACGATGATTGATAATAATCATAATAAAATGTGGAATTTGATATTTTTGTGTCTTGAAGGTGCACTCATTCAAGTTGTTCTTGTCTTCTTTTGTGGTTACCTAGATTATACATACTTTTGTTTTCTTAAGCAAATGATTGATAGCAGAAATTTCCCCTCGATCTTTTGCAGGCAAGAAAACTTGAAGCTCAGTTGGATGAGCAGATGAATTCTTATCGTAAATTGGTTTCAGCTAATGTTTCTACAAAAGCTGACACTGCAGGGAGTGATCTAGAATCTTGGATCGAGCGATTAATAAAACAACTCCAACATGTAAACTCACAGATGCAAGCTTGGGTATCATCTGGTGGTTCAGAAATGGTTTCTCATACTTTGACTAGACATCAAGAAATTCTTCAAGATCTTACCCAGGTATTCTATAGTCTGAGGCTATGCCGATTATGGTGCTTTCATTGTTTTGAATTGGTTTCTTCGTGCAAATAGGGATATAGGTATCGTATACCCTGATACCAATGGTTTATTCTGAAGTATTTTTGAACAAATATGATCAACTTCTTCACTTCCATTACTGGGAAGTAATCAAGTAAATATTGTAGGAAGTTTTCCCAAATTAATCTATAAGTTTTTGTGTATAATCTTTGACAGCCATGAGATGTGACAATCTGCTGGTAACTGTCATCAGCATTATATCTTGCCAGACTGCCTGTACTTTGTGATTGAATGATATGTGTTTTTGAATCTTTGACATGAAGTTACCTTTGTCCTTGCTTTGCAATGTTTTATTTGTTGTTTTTACTAATTACTTTATTTCTTCAAACCTTTAAACTTTTTGCTCTAAGCTTTGATGTAATTGAATTGCAGGAGTTTTATCGGCTTCGCTCAAGTCTTATAGCTAAGCAAGAACATGCTTCACTGCTAGAGGATTTTAAAGAATTTGATCGGACAAGATTAGATTTGGAACAGGGTGTAGACTCTGAACAGCATGCACTCCTAAAAGAGCGTGCATCTATCAGCCGAAATACAGGACATGTCAGTGATACAAAACTTATTTTGTTTTTCTGATATAAAGTGCTGTTTTCTTTCTTTTTAATCCAGATATTTCCAGTGGAATATTATACTATTATATATGAACATTTTATTTTATTTTGACGACAATGCATGTGATTTGTATAGTCTAATTTTTCTTTTGCTGGGTTAGAGCCTTTTTAACTTACAAGTCATGTGTTAGCATAACAGATTTTGCATTAGCCTGTTAGGCTCTAGAAAAAAATTCATAATCAACCCTTATATATTAAATTAGAATCCTCGCTAGTCTACCCTGTCTTGAAGAGCAACATGACTTTTCCAACATCAAGCATTTCTGATTTTTTTTCTTCTCAAATATTATTGCTTAAATTTAGTTAGTCCTCATTTATCTGGTTATTAATGCCAAAACTTTTCATGTTTTTAAATTTTGAGTTCAAAAATTTGAATTTGAACATCGTATCAAATTAATAATTGATTCATACAATTTATTTTCATAATTCCTCAATTTCAATAGTTTATCTCATTAATTTATTCCTATATAATAAAATAAAATCCTTACTGTGATGATATTTCCTATTATACTTCATTTCTCCTCTAAGACTCATGGTTTCACCACTAATTGACAATGGTGATATTTTTCTTTCAATTTATATATCTAAATTTCACATATTTAAAAATGCCTTTGTAATGTATGCATGGAAATTTTCTAGTAATCTTTGATGCATGGGAAATTTGTTTGGATAGATCAATATTCAATACTAAAATATTGTAACAAAAGCATATGCTTGGGACACAACTGCTATAAAGAACTACTTTCCAAGAAGTATTTTATTTTTCTTTAAAATTCTATCTGATGTCCAATTTGACTAGCCCTATTTTAATTTGTTCTACGTATTCCTGTGCTGCAGATGGACACTGTTATTTCACAAGCACAAGCAACACTAGGAGCACTTGTCTTCCAACGTTCAACATTTGGTGGCATCAATTCAAAGCTTGGTAACGTGAGCAGTCGGCTCCCGACGGTATGATACTTATCATCATGGATTTTGGTGTTTTATTCATTTTTCCTGTTTGCCATTTACATTGAGATTGAATAAGGAGTAAAAAAAGGGGCATTGAATACTGATGTTAATTTATACATAAACATGATGACGAATTTCATATTTCATGAGAATGTTGAGACCCCCTTTTGGTTCTGAAGTTTTTGTGTAGTCTGCATGGATATTGTTTGAAATTCTGCTGTTTAATGCACCACTGTTTAATAATGTTGCAGGTAAATAACATACTTTCTGCAATAAAGAGGAAAAAGTCAATGGATACCATTATACTTTCCCTAGTTGCAGCCGTATGCACATTTCTTATTTTCATCTACTGGCTATCCAAGTGAGGATGTTGCTTTTTTGATTGCTCCTTTTGTGTAAACTTTGTATGTTCCTTGTCTATTGAGCTTAGTAGCTGCCATGATGAAACGCGTTTTTCTGGTAGTAGTCTATTTTTTATTCCATTGTTTAACCATGTATCAAAAAGCAATGCTGAGTAAAAGATCAGAAATTACCTAGTGTTCATTTCTTGCTTTCTATTTCATAGATCATAGCTTGTAGTGAGTGGAGAGAATATAAAAAAAATTAAAGTGTGTTTGGTGCATTTGTTTTGAATATATATATTTTTTTATATCAGTTTGTTGAGATGGTTTTTAAAGAGATCAATTAACAACCATATATAAATTTTACACTATCAATAAATTAAAATTATAATTAAAATTATAGTTAATATGACTTTTATTTTATATTAAAAGTGAATTTTATCGATTCAACTGTTGAATAATATCTTCATATTATTTTATATGTGTATGTCAAATTTTGTTAAAATTAAATAATAATTAGAAGATAATAAAATTATTTATATTTTAAAATATATATTACATTAATTTTGATCTACATGAATAAAATATTAAATTATTTTGCATTAATATAAAATTTTGTATATATGATATAGGAAAAGAATTTTCAATTTAGCAGTATATTTTAAAAAATAATTATTTAATTAAAAGTTATTGAACATTATAATAAATAATAAAAGTTATATATATATATATATATATTATGAATATTTAGTTTACTTATTTATTCTTTTGGGGAAAAAATACGATTATTTTCCCAGAATTAATATTAGTGGTATGGAAGGAACGGAAAATCCTTGTGAATATTGTCGTGGCAGAATTTGTCCTCTTCTTAACTCAGTTCTCCTCTAGCAAAGAAGGAAGAGATAAGAGAAATTCAAGATCTAAATAGGTTCATTTTTTAAGTAGAATCTTCTCTCTAAATTAAATTTTTTTATATATAAGACAAATATTTAAAAAGATCAAATTTTGTATCATTTAGATTAATGATTTGTTGATTAATGTAATATTTTGAGAAGAACAATTAATTTTTTACGAAATTTAAAAAATACTGAAGTTTGTTATTTGGATATTTTATTAAATGAATTTAAAACAAAATTTGAATTAACAAATTCAATAATTCTAAAATTCATCTAAGAATATATAATAATAAATAAATAAATAAATTCAGAACTCTTGCTCTTGTTTGTTGGGTTGTATTGCTCTTTTTTTCTTCTCTTTTATCAAAATAAAATTTTAGAAATAAAAGAAATACTTTATCCAAACACAATTTTAAGATTGAAGAAATTTAATTATTTTATACAAACAAAAAAATTAAATTTAAGAAGTTTCGATTGAAGCTATTGAAACTTTCAGAATTTTAAATTGTTTAAAATTCTCAAATACTTCATCCCAACTAGTAGAATTTATTAAGGTGATAGACTGACAGTTGGACAAGTCAAAGAAGTAGGAATCTCTTATTTATTAAAAAAAAAAAAAAAAAAACTGCCAGTTTTTTTATTTATTATTCAATGGAATAAATAAAAGAAAAGAAAGAAACTGACAGTATTTGTTTTCAGAAAAAATAATGCAACACAGATAACTTTTTAATGGTTTTGCAGATGTAATGTAAGCCTTTACATAATAGATTGATTGGAAATCATTACCAAATCTAAATAGAAATTCTTTCACATAACTTCTTATTATTTGTTTGATCCTATGATCATTGATAACTTCAGCACAGATCCCTATCACAGTTGTGAAAAGGAAGAACAGATTGGGCTAAATTCAAAACAAATATGCCATTACTTTACATGTCCAAAAAGCCTTGGCCCTTGTCTCAAGTCAAGTGGCACCAAGTTCCTTTGAGTTTCGGATACCATCGAAGCTACTTTGCCTCCTTTACATTTTAACCCAACTTTCTTCATTCCGCATCAGATTTTAGAAATCTTATGTAGCAATACAACTACAACTGAGCCATTGACACGTGTTTACCTATATCTCTTCTGTCATACTCAGATTAACACTTTGTGGAAATAAGTGATGATGTGAGTTATCCTTTGATGTTCTCATGTTGCTATGATGGGTTGGTAACGGACCAATTCTTGAGTACCTATTACTTTTAGAACATTGATTCATATTGAATAAATAAACATTTTTTTATTATCGTGATATTGGTTAAAAAAATTTATCATGAAAAATAATCAGTAATCTCCATTAAAAAACTATGAATACATATAAAGTAAATATTTACTTTTTAATATGGTTTATTTTATATTTAAGACAAATTTAAACCTTTAAACAATTTGATTAAGCAAATAAACTGCTATGAGTTGTGTCAATTAGGATTGGTACCGAATAAATAAGTATGGAGATCTTGTAAAGGGATTTTGAGTCAAATTAGGCCCAGCAAACACAGTAAGAGCAGCTGAATACTTATCCCATTACACCTTTATCTCAAACCATATCAATGCATATTTTGATGTCCCCTTGACTCCGATCACAACAATGAATTTCACCTACAGAATCCATCATGCAAATATTCTTTCAAACAAATCACTCTTTCTTTTTAGTGGAACACGTTACATTATTAAGTTAAAATATTTTTGTCCTCTAAATATGTCAAAATGTTAGTTTTAATTTCTATGAAATTTAATAATGTATTTTTAGTCTTTACATTTAGTTTGATAGGTTTAGTCTCTCGTCAAGATTGAGCAAATTTTTACGAGATATAAACTCACTTTAATACATGGAAGTCTAAACAAGAGACATTTTATATTTTTATTAGAAAACATGTTTGAATTTCAATACAATATAATTATATACATAACTACAAATAAATTAAATAATTAATATAATTATTTCACTTATTCAATATAGGAAAAAGTTTATAGTTTGTGGACTGATTAGTTACTTTTATATAATTATTATTTTGAAAAGCCATAATTTTAAACTATCACAATAATATAAAGAATTATAAATATTCAGTACCCATAAACTAGTTATATAGTTTTCAACAGTTTTGTATAAATTTTAAAGAGAATGATATTTTTATAATTATTTATACAAATACAAAAGATTTTTCAGAAAACATCTTAGATCCTCTTTACACTGGATTAATCATTTCAACATCTAATTATTGGCCAGATGTCACAATCTCCACGGCTATGTGCAGCACGACAGTTGACCAAAAAGCAAAGAAGAAGACGACAAAGTAGGGAAGCCAGAGTTTCCAATCAGATTTACCTTTTAAAAGAACCAACAAAGTAAGAGCCCCTGTCATAACAGTATCCTACCCAACCACACAAGTACAATCAATTTAATCATTCATCCACAAGAGTAAAAATTAGCTGAGCACGGGGCGGGTTCGGACTGGTTCGGGTAGAAAATATTTAGCCCAATTCAAACCGACCCAAACATAAATTAACCTATTTTTGACCGTAACAGTGTTTCGGATTTGTCGGGTTCGGGTTTGTCGGGTATCGGGTTAATTGGATCGGATTAGTCGGATTAGGGAATTATAGGGTCTTGTTTTCCTGTTTGTGTCTGACGAGCAAAGTAGAAGCGAAGGAGCCTCTTCCAATTTGTTCTAGAATCTCATACTGCTCCATTTTCACTTCAACACGACATAGAAAGAATGGAAATAAGAAAGAGGAAGTAAATGCAAGAGCAGAAAAGGAGCATTAGGCCACCTTACCTTTCTAGTGTTCCTGTTCTTATTTGAATTCATATCTTTTCAGTTTTCCTTTTTCAGTTTCCCTTCCCATTCTTTTCGTTTCTTCTGCTCCTCTCAAATATTCATTACCTGCATTTTATCTCATGCACCTAATTTAAATAAAAGTATAGAATATTAACGCGGGTGGGTCGAGAAATCAGATTTGTCATTACAGAATCTAACAACTCGCAAAATGCTATCTTCCATTTTCAACTATATGCAAAAGGTTTCGCGGCGCTAGGGCTTTAGTTTCTCGCATAAGAAATAACATACTTTTAATTGTTATCTGTCGGTCGGGTATGGATACCGACAGATTCAAATATTTTAACCCGAACCCGACCGACAAAACGCATTTCAAACCGAGTCAAATAACCCGCAAAATCAGAAAATTCAAAACTAACCAACTGAACTAAAAGACTGACCACGGAAAATTCAGCCTAAAAGAACATTTTGGACAAATCCTTTAGTTACTTATTGTATAATTAAAATTAAAAATTACTATACATTATATACGTGCAATAATTCATATAATAATACTATGTAACATTTTTTTTATATATTTATTTCTCTATAACATCATTTATTTTATTTTAATTTTTTAACTAACATTTATTGACAGATAATCAAAAATTAATTCTTTTGAGATATATTTTAAGGTGAAATTTTTTCATTTGTATAACCAAAAAAATGGAACAATTGTTAACATGTTTTGAAAAATTCAACTATTTATCAACTATATTATAATAAAATTGACATCATTTATTAAATGTCAAATTTCTCTTTATTTTTTCTTTCCCTCTCATGATTGTAAAATTTGTTATACATATCTTGTTTTACAGATAACATTTCATCTCGCAATTTATTTGTTAATTATAGTTACTAAGATGAAAACAATAGTTACAAAAAGAAATAAGATATCGATCAATTCTAGTTTTTGTCCTTTTTGATGGTTCATTATCTTTAACCCGTCTAAAGTATATGCATTTCCAATATGATGCAGACAAACAAGTTATCCTTTTGTTGTCACTATCCTTTCTTGTCAAGCATTTGATTCCAAGCCAACGTGAGCACAAGCAAAAGAGTTAAACAATCTCAAAAGTTATTACTTATCCATCAAATGTCAAACAATTCTCTGCATGTGTTTCTGCAAGCCAACCGTACGTGCGGCCTCAGTTGCTTGTGTACAATGTTTGCTGTTGGTTCTTGTCACAATCACCATTAAAATGAGGTTGCAAGCAAAAAGGCTCGAACCCTTAGGAAAAATAAATGTTACAAGAGTTTAATGGGGACCTCATTTTTCATATATCATTGCAAGATTAGATCATTAAAGAAGATATTAGAATTTAATCATTGCGTGATTTATGCCAAAGCTTCATATCAAGATATGGTAGAAGACAAAATCTGTAATAGTCAGGTTTTATCATCATAGAAACTTACCTAACATTTGCCATGTCAATTTCAGGTGTCACCTAGACCTAGCTTAGCTAGTTAATAGTACACTCGTGACCAAATAGCTGTTCCACTTGAAAGAGAGGCAGTTAATATACCTTTTGAGAGAAGATTAAATTTTCAGTACTCTTGCAGCTTTTATGTTTTTATGATTAGTATTTTTTTTAGTAGAAAAGATTAAAACGTTTGTGGTGAGTAAACCTTAATTGTTTTTATATTTTCAATTTGATAATTTATTTTTCTTATTTTGAACCTAAAAAATTGATAATAACAAAATAACCTTATAAATATATTATATATCATGATTTTAATATTATATACTCTTAAAACACTAAAAAGTTGTTTGGCAATGAGAAAGAGAGACAAGATAAGATGGATGGAGTATGACAAAGTATATAAATCAATCTGTGTATAATTGTTTCAACTTAATTAATGATTTTTTTCATTTATACCAGTTTTACTCGAATTGAATATGATTATCTTTGGTATAAGAGACACAGTCCAAATCAAATAGTAAAAGAACCAAGATGGAGTTAAGTGTCCACGGTGGTTTGGAAATGTGGAATGGTGGCATGACACGTTTTGTGTGGTACAGAAGATGCAAAATGGTAAATTAATAAAACATAAATGGTAGAAGCAGGTATAATAGGAGAAAGTTGGATTGGTTGCCCCTATATATATGGCAATTGTTCGTGTCACGTTTTACTAGTAGAAGATAGGAAACTGCCATCTGAAATTCCCAGAATAGGTTTCAATTATTATGTGCTCAAACCAAGCATCGTCATCTTAACTAAACACACAAACCAGAAAGCATACCCAACTCTGAAAAGCCGATTTCAGAGTTAGAGTATTGTGCACAATTGCACAAAATTTTATATTTGAACTTTATTGCCGTTATCTTAATTCTTAGGATAAAAAATATATATATACCTTTAAATTTCTTGTTTTTTATTATTTATTATTTGTATCCATTAAAAGTTTAATTAAGTAAGAAAAAAATTATCCAGAAATTAAAATTAGTTTATTCATAAGTTAATTTATAAAAGTTCTTTCATATTAATTTTTTAAAACTATTTTTAAACTTGTATAAAAGTTAATTTTAACTTAACAGAGTTATTTTATTTTCTCCTATAAATATTTTTATTCAAACACGTTTTTAATAAGTAATACATTAAAAAAATGAAACCTAAAGTATAAATACATGGAAGAAAACTTTTCGCACACAAAAGGAAAAGGGAAACAAAAAGACATAATATACAACTCTGACAAAGATATCACCATGCAGCATAAGAGAAAGTTTGACACCAAAGACCTGTGTCTGGGTACAACGTATGACAGACACTGAAAAATTATTTCTTTTTCTAAAAGGAATTAGCTAAAACAGTCTTATGTCAAGTTTAAGGGATCAAGTATGCTGCTGCCATTACTGCTAAGACACCGTTATTAATTATGAATCTCTGGCTGTTTGCATTATGACAATCTTTTGAAGGAACCTAATAATAATAAAAACACCAGTTAGTGAAATCTGGTTGTGAACATTTTTAATAGTGGTTGGTCGAACGACAGGTGAGAAAGTTTGGTGTAAGTTTCATATTTTTATGAAAATCCCTAAGCAACCAAACTTGCTTTAAGCATTTCCACATGTACTTCTTGTCTATGGTTAGTTCAATTCAAAGCATGGTTTTAAATTAAGGTTGTAGTTGCAGCAGTTAACAATTGTTGAAATGACAGAAAATTATGAGAAAATGTGCAATGTCATTGTGGATACTTTAAAGTTAAAAAATTGCAAACTACAATTTAAAAGCATGGTTGATCATCTGCATTTATCTTTAAAGTACACCACATTCTGACCATTCAATATATTTTCTTATATATATATTAAATTGTTATTCCGTAAATTGAGTCTGAATCATGAACACACTATCCACATCAGTAGCTTGAAACATCGATGTAGGGCCTAGTGCTACATCGACATTGGGAAGTGGTGACACCAATGTCCAAGTGTAATTGGCAATGAGGGCAGCATATTCCTCTTGCATGGCTTTAAGGCAATTCAAATCTTTGGTTGCTTGTTTGTATGTGTAGAGGGTTCATCTGAACTCTGAAGAATGATTACAGAAACAGAAGGCCTCGAATGATTACATCTTGAAAGAAGGCCATCAATTGTTTTTGGTTGTCTATTACTACCGTTTAGAAAAATAAGACAGCTTATTGATTGATGATGTTTATGCATGATATGAATATAAAACTGCATCCTTAATTAACTGTGAAATATCGATTGCTCATTATACCCTGTTAATTGCGTGAAAGTAAAATACTTCAAATTGGGGAGTTCTATACAACCTTCTTGATGAAAAAAGTTTGAATAAAAGATTTTGCGTGATTGAATTGGGTTCATTTATTTAAAAATAAATAAAATAGTGAGAATTCTTAATCTCTCTTAATATGAAAACACATACTTAATGAGCTTTAATCAAATTCTCCTCGATTATATTGATTTGTCTGAAAGATTTTACTTTATTTATTTAGTTTAAGCTTTTGAAATAATTAGTTTATGGAGCTTTAATAATTTAGTGGTTAGGACTTTAATCCTTGGAACAACTTAAATTTTGCGAATAACTGATTCATGACAATGAAAAATACATAAAAGACATAAATACAATCCAATAGCCAACTGTCACATGTTATGATAACTTGTTCGTATTTTCTTTGAAAAATAATCTCTCATATATAATGCATGAAAATAGAGGATAATGATTTTCTTTTACATTTTTTGTTTTCCACTTTGTTTAAATAGAAGATTAGTTGCTACACAGGATTTGTATTTGTAGTTTGTCTATTTAAATAGTTGGCCTATTAGTTGTGACTCACATTCACAGTTTTATAGGATTAAGTTAATTGGTCTATTAGTTGTGACTCATATTCACGGTTTTATAGAATTAAGTTAAGTCTAAATCCATGTTCTAATAAGAATTTAATAAATAATTCTAAAAGGATTAAAGTGATATAAGTTTAATACTTCAAAAGAAACGTGCAGATATCTTCTAAAATAAATTGAAAAGTGTGGACAAGTGTATTTCCTATTAGGAGATAAACAAACCATAATGCAGGACAAGGACAGAAGAGTTTGAGCGAAGATACTGCAAATCCACCAACAGGGTTAAGAAATTCAGAATACCACACCTTTTATAAGACAAGTCCATTCTACAATACCACATTGTTCTGAAATTCGAAAGTAGACTATTGATCTTATCTTGGATTTTTAGCCCGTCATAACTTATAGACATGAATATACCGATAAAAGGCACATACAGAGAGACCAGAAATGTAAAGTGACAAGTGAGAAGACAAATAAAAATTACAAAAAAATAAAAATAAATAAAATAAAAAGAAACATTCAATGGGGTATGCACTAGCAAGTTGTACGTGGGTGTTCTACATATGTTCCAATCAAGCACACACAGACAAAGGCATGTCTTAATTTTTAGGTCTTGCTATATTAAGACCTTGTAACTGTAAAATAGTGCTATCTAGTTCTATACATAGCACACATCATTTATTGTTGTTGCATCATTCACAAACTCCATCTTTCAATCTTGCTGTTAAACCAAACTTCCATAACCAATCGTTGCAAATTCCTTGCCACATGGATCTTCAAAGGCAAGAGCCATGCCCTTCCATGGTCACTCAAACAGAAAAGGAGGGTCACAAACAACCACATGACTCAGTTCCTCGTTTTTTACTAGATCTAAGTCTCTCCACCAAGGACTCAGGTGACGACTCAAAGCCAGAACTCAATCTCCTCAATTGTTTCCATGCAAATTTCTCTGAAAATTCCTCCGAATCTAGCCATGAAAATGAACTGGATCCCAGGGTTTTCTCATGCAACTACTGCCAAAGAAAGTTCTATAGTTCTCAGGCACTAGGGGGACACCAGAATGCACACAAACGTGAAAGAACTTTGGCAAGAAGAGGATACAAAGCTGGTGCAGCAGATTTTGGACACACATACTCCAACATGCCTTTTCTGCCTTCACATGGCTTATACAACAAAGCACTTGGAATTCAGGTTCATTCTATGATTAACAAACCTTCTTTTCAAACACCCTTTTTTGGGCGGTGCCGTTCCAATGGATGTCAGAGGCAGCCTTTGGATTCACAACCGGCAATAGGGAATTTTCGTGTGGGGGCAGAAACTGAGTCATCCTTGGTTGATAGTGTTCCAAAGTTAGGCAAGTTTTCAACAAGGTTGGTGACGGAGGGTTTTGGAGGTTACTGCTTTGGTAGCATTACTCATTTGAAGTCTAAGCAAGAGAAGTTGCAGAAGCTGGACTTGTCCCTCAAGCTCTAAGTAGTTACTCTCCAACATGTCATACCCCATTACCGCAGTTTATTTGTGTCTTTTCTCATTGGCACCTCTTTCCTCTCTCACTTCTTTTGTCCTCATGTATCTCTAGATCCAGCAAGTCAATGCATTTTGGCTACTTACCAGATGTTGTGTTTTGCTTTTAATGTTGTTTGCTTTATTTTGTCATGAATAATGATTCTACATGGAATTATTTCCATGTTAAAACATCCATCAAGCTTTGAATTGCTTTGTAATAGCATGAGTACATCAAACTAAGAGCCTATAGAGGTAGGGAAGTTAGGTCCTCACTGCTTTGATCTGTTCAATAATTGATTATAAAATTATAAAAGTTGATGGATCTACATGTGTTTGATTCGACCAAAAACACCAGTCAGTTCTATAAAAGCAGGTAGAGCTTATTTCACTAGACTACTGATATTCTTTTAGCTATGTTTTGGTCAAGTTTATTAGATACTGAGCATCTTCTGCTCCCAGAATTAATGACTCTAGGACCATGTAGTTATTGGAGTTCCCTTATTATTGACAATGCAGTAAATGTCAACCTGGGACTGTTTGGATCAAGGCATGTATGTCTCACATATTGGGTGACAAAGGTCCACACTACGTAGAAATTTGGATGGTAGTGAGTGTCGTTTTATAAAATGTTATGGAAGATTGGTCCACCAAAATGCACAGTTTCAATGGCTGTGATTGTCTCACTGACTCGTACTTTGACCCACCTGTAGTTGGAGAAATCGACCATCTCTATTGGGATCAGAGAAGTAGGTGAGGCAAGCCATGTGAAAGTAAGCCAAAATGACACTCAGCTCTGCTATCACATCATTTTAAAAGGAAATGTTATTGATTAAAATCTTGAATCTTGATTTCTTACCTAAAGATATCTGAAGCAGACACACAAATTTGTAGGTCCATATCCGCCTGATGTTTACACTAATCTCGTTTTAATCATTAAACATAAGTACTATGATGAAATTAAGGACCAAAAGCAACTGAAAGTCTAGTCATTATGACAGTTAATGATCACGTAATCTCACGCTAACAAAGGGATATGAGATGTTTCCAAACATGGATTCTGAATTTGGGCTTTCTTCTTGCTATATGAATCACTTCGGTTGAGGTGTCTATTTTACTTGTGGTGGCATACCTCAGTCCTCACCATTCGTCCAATAAAATATTAAGAACCTTTAATTTGCCTCCCAACAAAGAAAGAAACACAAATGAACACGTGGAGCTGAAATTTTAAAGCAAAAATTGCTTCTTCTTCAACAAGATCTTATATGGTAATCAAATTTGAGATTGTCCGTCCTCTTCTGTTATAAAAGATAGGAAATGAAAGTTGTATTAACATCAACATCTCAACAAGGCTAGTGAAGCAGTGCCTGTTTGTTTTTTCTATTCTTATCATTCTACTTTTACTTTGGGATCACTGTTTGTATGTATGCTCTTGATCAAATTAGTAGCCTATCAAACAGTAGATTTCAACAATTGTTATTTAGTTTATTTCCCTTTCACCTAAATAAGTTGGATTGTAATCATTTCTTTATATGTAAAGAAACACTGAACGTTATTATATACGGTAAATTGCATGGTTTAACAATACCACATGCAATACATCCATGATAAGGTCTGCATCTTTATTTTCAATTCCATTAAAAAAATAATAGTAATGAGAATTAGTTGTATTTTGACTTTTTTAAGAAGGCTAAGAATCTTGAACTTATTATAGTGTTCTACCAGATAATTATTCTGAGTTCAATTTTGATACTCTTTTACGGAATGTTTATACTGTCAACCAGTTAAATTATCTTATATATATCGTTCATTATTAAAACTGCTGTCAATAAATTTAAATTAAATTTTAATTATTCATTCCATGAACCTTTATTGATCGGAAAGACTGATATCTTGAATTACATTTGTTGACCCGACATTTCTTGTACATACCACTCCAATTCACTAAAAAACTACACAATTCAGGTTTTCCTTTACGTTTTCTTGTCATTTAGTCTAGCCTGGTTTAGTTCTAGAAACTTGAACATGAAATATTTTATTTTTTTAAGAGATAAAAAGCCGCCAATCATTTCATTAAAATGAATATAAAAAATGTTTCATGAAATAGAACTCCTATATATTCTATAATAAATAAAAAAACCTCAAGAAATTAAAAACGCAACGGATAAAAAAAAGGAAGAGACTTATGCAATGTTCATAAAAAAAAAAAAAGATTTATATATACAAATCTATTATTTTATTTTCCTGTTTTAAATATTTATCAAATTAAAATAATATTAGAAATTAAAAATTTGTTCCCTTTATTCTCTAAAACTCAACACTCCCAAACACACCTTTACAAAACAAACTTTCTACATTCAATAACTTTCAAACCAAATGAACATGTACTTATTTTAACAATGCTTGCCTTTCGGTGTTAATCATGCTATGATATTCACAGGCACATGTCTGAATGCTGATGGAGGTAACAAACATTACAAGCATAGTGTTGAGTATAGTCATAAGAGCATCTCCGATGAAAGCAATTCATTTGAGTTACTTCATGCATTGAAAAATGAAAAAAGTGATCCCAGTGTGCCATGTTAGCATTAAGTAACTCAAACAGAAATTTACTCCAATAGTAAGAAACTTTAAAAAATTCAACTTTAGAATTTTTTTCAAATCATTTATGAACTAAATTAAAATTTTTATTAAAAAGGATAATTACACTACAATAAAAGAAAATAAATTATGAGAAAAATACACAATAAGTAGATATTAAAAATAAAATAAAGCAATTGCACTACAATAAATTTTTATTAAAAAGGACAATTGCACTACAATAAATTTTAATTTTTTAATTTTTTTAATTTTTTAATTTTTAATTTTTAATTTTTAATTCTTTAAAACGTCTCTTTTTCTTCTTGTTCTCTTCGTAAAAGGGTTTTTTCATTTTTCTTCACCCTTCATTTTCTTTCAACTCCACCTTCAAACTCTGTCTACCGCTGCCGCCGCATCGCCGCCGTCGCGCGCAGGTCCATCCAGAACGTCCACTCGCGGCAAAACGTCCACCGGCGCATCTCCATTGTCCAGGCAGAACGTCCACCGGCGCGCCTTCGCTTTCCATCGGCGCGCCTCCGCTGTCCACCCGCGCGCCTCCGCCGTCCAACCCCGCGCCTCCGCCGCGCCTCCTTCAGTTCACAAAAGTAAGCAACTATTGCTTCACTAAACAACCCTCTCTCCTCTGCAAGAAACTCTTGCTGCCACCTCACACGTCTCCAATGGTAAGAAACTGATGTTAGAGTTGCTTGATGAGCCAAGCAACTCCCATTGGAGTTGCTCTAACAGCGAGTACGGAAAGACTGCTCTTACCTTGGTACCCACTACCCAAACCACAAAGAGTTGTCGAATTTAGTTGGATACTAATTTTATCATAAACCATTAATATCAGCGAGCAATAAAGACGACTCCCCCTAAGCATTGACCAGACCGGGTTTAAGGGTTTGACAAATTGAAAAAGTGACTGACAGAAAATTGGTTATATTAGTGCCTCTGCCATCTGACAAATTCACTCTCAAACTTATTTTAACTAGACTTCTATATTCTGGTTTGTGTGGATGGATTGAATCACCAAGTTATCAAACCTTTCTCAGTTAGGAATATATTTCAACACAAATACATATCTGCCCCAGAAGTTACTCAGTCAGAAAGAAATCTGCGGTACTAAAGTCCAACAGGTCCTCTGTTTTCAACTAAATAATCAAGACTCTGTTAATGCAAATTATGCAATATAGTTGGAGCAAAGAATCCTAAACTGAAGCCTGTATATTCCAACCTTTTCGGAATCTGAGAGTGTCTGAACATAACTAGTGATAAACATGTTAAATCACCAACTTTAAATATTGGAGGAGACATACATAATTCTATGACAATATAGATGAGGTTATTTGGAGCAGCACATGCTGGGAAATAACAATTCAAAAATGGTATGGAAAAAGCTTCGCCAATTACAAGTAATATCTACTAAAACATTATTTTGAAACAAGCTCAAAAATAATTGCATCTATTATTCAGCTGTAGGAAACTAGTAATCAAACATTATGTGTCACTGTTTACAGATTGGAAAGTTGAAATCAATGTCATAGAAGTGAATAAACATGCAAAATCTACAGAAGAGGAGAAAAATATTCCATTAAAAATGCCGCAATTCACTACTTTTTTTTTTCTGAGGTGGAATCCGGAGCAAAAACAACAATTACAATACAGCCATTTCCAATGTTACACAGTTTCCACAAAATCTAACTACAAATCTAAACCTTTGTCAACAAAAAACAAAAATGTGTACTTGCTTAGATTCACACTTCAGTGACAAAACACATAAGAGAAGTGATTCAATAGCTTATCTAATCCAGAACATTGAAATTACAACGCCCTTATTTCCTTTCAATAAAAGCCTTAACCCTTTCCATCCATCCCACCAACTCCGCTTTATCCTTTTGTTTCATATACTGATGCAAGAAAACAGCAAGTTCATCACCAACACCCCTTACTTCCAAGAAATCATAAAGGCTGTCTTGCAACCCATCATCCAATTCCCTGCCAAGAACCAACAGCAAAAGGTGTTAACACAGTTCCAGATCCAACCATCACCCAAAAATTTCAACAAACAACTAAGGGTCAGTTTGGGTAAACTTCTTCCCAAACACTTCTAAGAAAGAAAATTGAAATGATTTTTTCTATAAACTAAAATTAACTTAAGCATAAGCTAATTTGTAGAAGAACACTCTTATTAACTTATCCAAAATCTTATTCTTAACTTATGTATAAGCTAATTTTAGCTTATGGAATAACTTATTTCAAGTTTCATCCTTATTTTTTTCCTAAGTACTTCTAGATAGGTTTCTAAAAGTGAAAATGAGAAGCTAAATAAACCTACGTGAATTCAGGACCGGCATAGGGCTCAGCGATCATCTTCTCATTCGTACGAATGAACAGCCTTTTAATCTCTATACTGTCAGGCCAAGCAGAGCACATGAATTCCAACACACCACCAGCACCTTCTCCCTTGGAGATGGTGACAATTACAGTAATGTGCATTTGCATTTCATCTGAATTAGCCACACCGCCATTTTTACTTGGAGCAGGAACTGCTCCATCAAACATGGTGGCTTCAAGTTTGATATCTTCATCAGCATATTGTCTCCTCAACGTAATCCATCGCTCCCCACCTCGGCCATCCACCATGAAGGAATTGAATTTGGTAACAGGCTGCAAAACAGGAACGTTGGTAATCTTCTCCAAATGCATAGCACACTAATTGATACAAAACGTGGCCAAGTAAATCGATTAGAAAGAAGAAGGGAAAAAAACATGATTTACTGATTTAGGTCAAATCTTACGTTGTTGGGAGGAGAGGATTGGAGCTCGTACTGAATCTCAGATCGGAGGAGTCTCAAAATGTATCCTTCGAAAGCTGATTTGCGCATGTCTGATATGTAAGTTCTTGGGGATAGGTAACGAGAAATACATAGTTGTTGGTGTTGGTGAGTTAGGGTTAGGGTTAGGGGTTTCGCGAGGGATCGAATGAGGCGTGCCATTGAAAAACACGCAGTGGGATTAGAGCGCAGGGTTTAGAGATAAAGGGTTTATGAGAAGAGAAAATCTCACGAGACATATATGACAAACAGGGAACGGGGAACGAAAAGTATTCGATTCATATGGACTATAATATTTAATTTTTATTTTACTAATTATATTATTATTACAAGATTTATTGATGTGATGATTCGTTTCTGTCAAGAATTTGATCAAATTCTTTATTTATTTTTAGTAGAGTTTTCTTTTTTAATTACATTTTTTTATTAATATGGCATAATTTTAGTATTATTGTTTAGTTATAATTGAAATTTCAATGTTATTACACTCGTAATAAAATTAAAATATTTTTTTAATATCATATGTTGCTTATATAAGAAACAATTATATTTGAGTGAAATAGGATTATTTTACGCTACAAATTTTTTAAGTCTTTAACACAATTGTATATTTAAAATTCGAAATCATTAGTTTAGTTTAGTGTGACATAATTTTAGTATTAATAATTGAAATTTCATTGTCATCACATTCATAATAAAATTAAAGTACTTTTTTTAGTATCACATGTATCCTATGTAAGAAATAATTATATTTGAGTCAAATAGAACTATTCTAGACAACAAATTTTTTAAGTCATTAACACAATTACATATTTAAAACTCGAAATCATTGGTTTAGTTACAACAATTCTATATTAAATGATTCACTCGATCTATACTAAATTATTGAAGATATGTTATAAACTGCATATATGTTTATCACTATTAAATAAAAAAAATGCATATCATATTATATTATCATCATAAATAATATTATTGATAAATTAATATTTTTAATGTTATAAATAAATCAATATGAAATATAATTTTTAATCATATATTAAAGATTATATATTTATTATTACTAAATATGAGAACTTTCAGTTTCTTATACAGAATAACATTAATTATTTGTGGATGAAAGAGGAGGTGGGAGCGGGAGCTCTAGTTGGAAAGGACTGATATCGAACTTGTCATAACCAGGAATGTACTCAAACTTATTAGTCCTTAGGTTAGCAACGAAAATCCCATCAATAAAGGAATGCAAATACACAATGTCCCCATCATAGGGATGAAATCCCCCTACACGCTTGAAGTAATTAACACAAAACTTGGTAGGGAGGTGCATAGAGAGATTGGTCATGTGCACCAATTGCCATGTTTGGTAAAAGTTATTTTGGGTGGTGTCTTCTGCTTGCGATATCAGTTCCCACATTCTCAAATGATTATCGTCGCTAATATATGCAATCTTCAAAGTTCCACCAGAGCACCCTAGGTATCCAAAGCTCACTATATTCATAACATTAGCATCTTCAGGATAATCAATTGTATGACAGCCCACCGAAATGCAATTAATCACAAGAATACTTGTCGCACCCATGAAATACAGATTTCCTTTATGTGCCAAACTAAGCATCCATTGAGGAGCAAAAGCAAATCCATTTAAGCACGACATATATATTATAAACCACTTACTTGACTCTGAGAGGAAAACCTTTATTCTAAAATGACTCAGTCTTCTTATAAAGGAATTCACAATCACCACCAAAAAATGACGAGTAGAATTTGTGGTTTCAGAAATGAAGCCAACAGCAAACATGTGTGCTTCCTTATTTGTGTCAGGAAAAGGAGCTATGTGGGTGCATTCCTTGGTGAGTGGATCATACACAAAGTAACCTTGACCTGATGTGTATCTACCGGTGCAACACAAAAATAAGCCATTGGAATAGCCACACACATTTCCCTTTATGGGCATATGATTTGGAAACAAAGGAGCCTTTTGGGTTTGGGTATTGGATTCAAAATCTAGAGGTGGGAAAGCGAGCATGAGTTGGTGGGGTGAAATGAAGGTGAAGATGGCTTTGGAGAGAGAGTGTTGGCGAGACACGAATTGGGTTGAAAAATAAGGAATTGAAAGCAATTGAAACCAACGCTTACACACACACTTGCATTTCACAGTGGATTTATATGAAAGTTGAAAGAATATTTTTTCCAACACATCATCTGGTAAATTGTTTATATCATTCAATAAAGAAAAACGCTTCAAAAATGATGAAGAGAATGAGATATTAGCCATGCGCAGTGATTCAATTGTTTTTCTACATAAATCAAATGGTACTACTCTACACTACATTGTTGACAAAGGAGAATGAATGGAGAAGAGGGTGAATTGTTTTTTTTTTTTTGCTTGCTCTTATTGATCCTCGTTCCTTAACCCAATTTTAATATACCCAAGTTTTTTATGGTTTCTTTATTATTTTTAATACTATCATAAATGATTTACGTTTTCTTTCAAATATTTTAAGACTATTCTCCATTTAAAGTTTTATCAATTAAGGAAAGACGACTTTTAGTGAGATAGATCGAGATATGTTCGGAAAAGTATTATAAAAAGAAATGTTAGCATTTATTACATTAATTATATCTTATTATTTTTATATATCTACTAGCTTTTTTAGTCATATTTTTTCATTTATTTATATATTATTGTCGGTGGAAAAAAAATAGAGACATATTAATTAATATTATGTTGATCCACCAAATGCATGAATCAACTAGTGCAAGATTACTTTATGGTATTAAATTAAGTTCTACATATATAATTTTATATCTATTGGAATCGAATATGGTACTAATTAGGGTATTCACAACAACTCACACTTGGTTCAATCAATTAAGCTAAATCCCCTTAAAAATTTAAATGGGACCCCTAATGGTTAACTTCAACAACAAATCTTAAGCCCTAAATATGTAATTGTCTTAAATACATGTGATTTGCACAAACAAAAACATAAGATCTTAACCACTTATCTCTTTTAATTTACCATCTCTTATTTTTATTTCAAAGTTGAATTTAATATGAAATATTATTAATAATTATGTGGAGAAAAGATAAATACTAGAAGAGGGGTTGAACCATGTCTATCAAAAAATGCACCTTTTCATAGTGAAGTAGTAACACTAGTTAGATGGAGTGCGAAGAGAAGTCAAATGAAACACTGAGTATTTTTTATATTAATTTATCTAAACCACCAAGATTACGTACAATTCTCAATCCAACAAGATTGAGTTCCACTATCTTTTAACAAAGATACAAGTATTCTTTCAACAAGTCACTTCTGACTCAACCCTAAGTGTTCTTTAACTTGTCTCTTCAAGCAACTATCCAAGTATATTTTTTACAACAAGCCTTTCTAGGCTTAACAATTGAGTATTCTTTTAACAACAAACCTCTCCAAACTCAACCTTACAACATTGGTTATAAAGTTTACAAAGATGTTATTCCGTCTCACTTAAATGTTATGCAACTAATATAGTGCAATAAGTTTCTTACAAGAAATAATGAAGTTTATACACAATTATAATTTATAGAATGTGTCTCTACGAAATATGTCTTTTCTCTTACTTTTTTCTTTTTGCATTTCAAATTTTCTTATATAATAACTTTGGAGAAAATGATCATTGTACTTTGAATCCAGCTCACAAGCTTATTTATTTGTCTTCAACATTTTTCCTTGTAATGAAAAGTAATTGTTGACTCATTCAATGCAAGTATTAAATACATTTTACTAAATAGTACCTTTTATCTAATCAATGAAATTACTTATCATCTTTTCATACCAAACGAAATTTGTAGAAGCAATGCCAGCACAGAGCAACAAGAACAATGTCTTTATTTGTTTTTCTCCATGATTTCAAGGATCTTCATTCACGGTTCTAATGAAAAGCTTGATTTTATTCTCTTTAATAAATTTATGAATTTTATGATAGCTTTCTAATATGATCTATTAAGAAATAAAGCATTCAAATAAATTTTTTTGTTAGTCTCAATAAATAATAAACATTTAATGTATATAAGACAAATTGGATGTTTTGTCTGATTCACAGTGTTTTACAAATGATATATATCTTACACTTCGTCTAACAATCATTTTTGAAGATATTTTTTCTTATAAAAACGTTTCATTTGTTAATATTAAAATTCTAAATTTTGAGAGATCCAAGATCATCTTTTGACTTAACAAATTAGAAATAAATTTATATCACAAATTTACTTATTTTTGTAAATTCAAATATAATTTATGTATTTAAGATATTTTTATTATAAATTTTAATTGCATAAAATAAATATTTGTCTTATATAACAAAGATTTATAATAGATTATATAAAAATAAATATAATATTTTTATATATAAATATATATTATATTTGAATGTATAAGTTATATTTAAAATTTTTATAAATAGATATTTTTTAACATTGCATTATATTTTAAATTTATAATAAATAATTTATATTATAATACAAGATTAATTTTAATTATTAATAACTTATTTAATATAATTAATTTAATTTATGAATAAATATAATAAAAAATTTAAAATCGATAAGAAATCAAAAGATTCTTTAAAAACTCTTTTATTACAGAAAAGTCTCTGCAAAAATTTTCGTTAAAAAATTCTAAAAAAATGTTATTGTTTAAAATAACAATCATATTTAATTTATAAAAAAGAATTATAATTTTTATGTAAGCTGTATAAAAAATTGTAAACATATAATTATAATTAGTATTTAGGATATACAATCCATAAAACAAAGGTTGTTGAAACTCCTTAAAAAGATAATGATGGTCGAATATACGATGATAGTAATAACAACAGGAAAAAATTAGTGATAATGGCTCACCCCACAAACTTAACCCCATGGATCATGGCCATAAGAGTCCACAAGGCCCAAAAATCTATATAAAGAAAAGTCTCCAATCACAAGATATCGTGCGCAAAGGTTTTTTTTTTTTTTTTTAAAGATAAAAAAAATTATGAAAATGGTCGTAAATAGGATTGAATCTAAGTCCTCATGCTTCTAACTATCTCAACCCCTCCACACCCCTTCACACCTAGTAGTCCTTATCGTGCGCAAAGGTTAGTTCATGATATTAAATTTTTCTTTTTTTTTAATTAACCAACTTGAGCTCAAAGTGAGTTGAGCCGGTCTGTGGTCAGCTTAGCCTACTCTATGAACTACCTAACTTATTTTTATTATTTTGGAAAATAAATAATTAAACAGTATAAAATTACCCCAAAAAAATGAAGAACTTTATAAGAATTCAGTTTAAAAAAACAAAATGAGATATCATAACCCATAATAAAAAAAGAATGAAAGTAAATGAACAAAAAGAGTCATGGAATAGACACACCGAACTGTTTACCAGTTTGCAACCACAACCATGGACAGAGTTCAGAGCTGTTGTCACAAACAAAAGTAGAAAATGCCCTGGTTTCGGTTTCGATTCGCCCATAGGAATAGAAGACAGAGCTGACTAAATTTTGGTTCAGTGTTGGTTCTCACCCAAGTGTTGGTCCAAGAGGGTTCAATTCCAAATCTCCAAAGCCTAAACCCTGCTTGAAATCGTCACCGCAAGACATTCAAGATGATCATAGCCTAGAAAAAATCTATTAATTTACTGGATCCTTGCGAGATTACAGGCAGCATAAGGCCAAAGTAGGAATTGCGTTCTAGCTTCTACAAATAGTGACTAAACTAATGCACCAAGCACCAAAATTAGATTTCCCATTTATATCTTCTTCCCCAATAAAACTTAAAAAAATCATTCTCGGCGGAAGGGGATTTACATGTTTGGTAACTCGTGGAGCATGATTACATAACTATTCATTTCATGAAAAATGAAAAATATCAACAAAAACCCAATAGCTTTTTGATCATTTAAGTGTAATGACTTCTAAAAATCATAGTACCTTAAGAAGCACCTCCACTTGATTCTGGCCTTTGGGATCCAGAGGAGAAGAATTTGCAGTTGCAACTGAACCCTTGCTCTTTTCATGTAATTCTGGCTTAGACTTGAGAGAATTGTGCTTATCAAGACTGTCTTCGTCTACAGCTTTATTTGATGCAGAATCAGGGGTACTCGTGTTCCTTGGTGCAGGGGAATTTGGGTGTATTTTCTCATCATCGGACACCTGATTTTTGCCTAGGTTGCTGCTAGATTGTTTCTTTGTTTCAACCACAATCTCCTTCACAACTTCTTCAAGTTTCTCAAGTCTCACTTTCACCTCTGAAAGCTGGGGATCAGATTTTTCTTCCTTTTCCTCAGGGGGCTTTAGTTCCATTGCCTTTTCTCTTTCCTTTGCTTCTTCTTCTTCTTTCTCCTTCCTTTTTAGCGCCACTTCCTATTAAGTGATTCGGAGAAAAACCATTATTAGGGAGGAAAATCAACCCAAAAATGGAGTACCGTTCATCCAATTATTTAGATGTATAATTAATAATAAAGTAGCAATAAGTAACAGGTACAACAAAACAAAAACGTAGAATACAATCTAAAAAAGTCTAATGTATTTCAAACAAAAAGTAAACAAGTAGCACACTATATCTCTCATAATTCCCAGCCTATAATTGCACAGTACTGCCACATCAAACAATTGCAGAAAGTGTGATGTTTCAAAGATATGGCATAGACATCATCAATGTCTAACCAGGAAAACAAAATGGATCAGAACGCTGAATAATCTATACAGGCCTTGTTAGATTTTCATACAAGAAGTTCCATTTCCAAAGGATTCCAATGAAGTACTTTAGATGGATTCTGAACTGACTGATTAGATTATGATGAGGAATAAGATGATCACAAGCATCCTACCAACATTCATATGATGATCGAAATTTCACCCTTACAATATCAGAACAAAGGAAAGACAACTTACCACCTCCATTTTTCTCATTTCGTAACGAGCATACTGCGCCACCAAATATACAGCTGTGCTGAAAAAACTTACTCAGACGATAGCACTAGATTTTTTTATATAAATAATAATGTAAATGAAAAAAGGAAAACTTAAAGTGTGAGTCTCGTACCCAAGGAAGGCAAGCAGGCAAAACAAAACTGTACAAGATGGAAATCAAACCTGAACAAGAAAAACATAGATGCAGAGTAAGAATCTTTTTTCAAACTATTAACAGTATAAACAAACAAAGTAATCTCCATTCCACAAAGAAAAAGAGTAAATACTTTAGCCTTCATATCGTATGCAACAATCATTTTAGTCCTCACTTGGCTTTTAATTTCACTCTGATCTCTAACTTTGAAATTCATGATTTGCTTTAATCATTTCCACGGCCTTTTCTACTAATGTTAAGGACCAATAATATGAAGGATATATCAATTGCTTTAGTCCCTGAATTTACCTTAATCATTTTCAATTGGAAAAGCTAATATACCGAACTTATTTGGATTTAATGACTTGTGAGAGTGACTTAAAGTGACTTTGAAATTCTTTTGACTAATTTCAATAAACTTCAGATCAATAAGTTCAGTTTACCTCAAGTTTATGATATAAACTCTAATTCTGTGCTTGGATGAAGAATTTTATAAATTTAAAGAATTTAAAATTCTTGATATTTGAATTATTTTGATTTTAATTTTTATCGTTCTAAAAATAATTTATTTGGATAAGTTAATTTCAAATTTTTAAATTTTTAGTTTGTATTCTTACCGGAGATCTGCTGTAGAGATGATCCGCCAAGTAAGATTGGTGAGCCTCTTTCACTGGTACATTGATGCTTCAAGATGGGGGTGGTACCTGCAAAAGAGACTCCGATGCTAAAGTTAGTCTTTGTGGGAGTATGAGTCTCGTATAAGTAATGCACGTACCTTTGTGTGGATTAGGGTTTTTCTGACCTTGGGCCCGAGATCAGTTTATGACCTAATTGGATGTAGGGCTGACGTGGCCTAGCGCGTGTCCGAGGTCACTCTGCGCTGAGATGCCGAGCTCGAGCTCGGCATAGCGGTACGGATAGTACACTAGCCCCCGAGCTCCGAAGACCGTGGGTCAAGGAGTTAATGCCGAGCTCGATAAGGGGCCGTGACCCTTCGCGTACGCTTCTCTGCTATGATGCCATGTGTCATAAATGTCACCTCGCTCCCTGAAACGTGCGGGCGGCGTGTTAATGGGAGGTGACGGTTATGTAGACGTACCTTGGTAATATTTAGGTTTTTACTATCTACCGGTACATTGGCATTGTTAGGGTTTTACCTTGTGATTGCGGCGCGGTGACAAGATTGTATTTTTATCTGTTTGATGACGTCGTCTCTTTGGGCCGATGTGGTATTCTGATGTCCATGTTTCATGGCCGAGCTGAGGAACTCGGCAATATAGAGTTTATTGCTTGGTCAGGCTGGTAAACCTTTGACCGAGTCAATAGATTGGTGAGGGACAAGTCGGCAACTCGGTTGGCCAGTACACTTGCCCCCAAGCACCGAGTGATGTAAGAGCGAAGGGGCTTCTGAGGAGCTCCCAAATTTGTTGTTCGAAGGTTCAAATTCGACCTTGGTTAAGAAAATGTAGTCTCAAGGTTCAGACTCGACCTTGGCATAACAAAGTTTGAACTCGACTTTTGTTAAGAGAATGTAGTCTCAAGGTTCGGACTCGACCTTGGCATAACAAGGTTTGAACTCGACCTTGGCATAACAAGGTTCGAACTCGACCTTGGTTAAGAAAATGTAGTCTCAAGGTTCGGACTCGACCTTGGCATAACAAGGTTCGAACTCGACCTTAGTTAAGAAAATGTAGTCTCAAGGTTCGGACTCGACCTTGGCATAACAAGGTTCGAACTCGACCTTGGCATAACAAGGTTCGAACTCGACCTTGGTTAAGAAAATGTAGTCTCAAGGTTCGGACTCGACCTTGGCATAACAAGGTTCGAACTCGACCTTAGCATAACAAGGTTCGAACTTGACTTTGGTTAAGAAAATGTAGTCTCAAGGTTCGGACTCGACCTTGGCATAACAAAGTTTGAACTCGACCTTGGTTAAGAGAATGTAGTCTCAAGGTTCGGACTCGACCTTGGCATAACAAGGTCCGAACTCAACCTTGGCATAACAAGGTTCGAACTCGACCTTAGTTAAGAAAATGTAGTCTCAAGGTTCGGACTCGACCTTGGCAACGTAATTTGTATTTGAAGGCTCAAACTCAACTTTAACACCAAGGTTCAAACTCGACCTTGGCAAGTCGTCATGGTTAATGTGCCAATACCGAAAATGTATGGGAATGGAGTTGCTTTGTTGATTTATTTCTGAGGTGTGCCTCGTTAAAACCTTCCTTGGCCAAAAACCCTTTTCTTTAGTGGGAAAAAAGGCTGAGGAGGAAAAAGAGTACATCACCTGAATTTACAAGTTAAGAGAAATAAAATTTGAGGTGGGTGGAATTCCAAGTTCCAAATTTTCCTTTGGAGGGGTCTGTTCTTGCTTCTCCCCGTAATCGCCAAACAAGGTCGCCAACTTTAAATGTTCGTGGCCTGACCTTGGTCTTGCTTTCCTTGTGGTTTGTCGCGAATTGCCTTGTGGAACTCGGCATGCTCCTCCATCTGGATGTACCCAGCAACGCGAGCTCGGAGCTCGTCCATGTTGGGAGGAGGTCGTCGGCAAAGGCTGTCGACGAAAGGTCCTGGCTTCAACGCCATGAGCATGGAGTGTAGGGCCACCTCGGGGTTCAAGTTTCGAATCTTGACCGAGATACTGGCAAAGAGTTCCATGAACGTCCGTAGTGGTTCGTCGTCGCTCTGTCTGAGGCTGGCCAGAGCAGCTGACGTTATGTGATGAGGTCGACTCATTGCATACTGCACTGTGAACCGTCTGACCAGAGTGCCGAAGCTGTCAATCGACTAGGCAGGCAGCTGGGTATACCATTTGAGCGCAGCCCCCTTAAGCGAGGTCGGAAAAACTCTACACAGAATAGTATCCTCATTAGTGTAAAGGTTTACCTGTGTAGTATATAAATCGATGTGCTCGTCCGGATCCGTCGTGCAATCGTAACGGTCGATGTGGAGAGGCTTCCACCCGAAAGGGAGAGGTGTTTCCATGATGCCATCCACAAAAGGATGACGGCAGAAGGTCGCTTGATTGTCCGTGATGTGGGCAGGAGCATTGCTGACGTCATGGGCCGACCTGTTCGTCGGTACGAGGGACCGATGTGTGGCAGGCCTGAGAGTCGGTGCCCTAGTCGCTGTTGGCGGTTGAGAAACCGAGTGCCCCTCCTCCTCGTGTAGGTTACTCTGTTGAGGGGGTTGATCAGAGGGACGCCGAGGGAGCTGAGCGTAAATAAACTCATTCTCGGCGCGCAACGCCGCTAGGTCAGCCTCATTAGCGGTACGCATCGCAGCTAGGTCAGTTTCGTGCTTGGCACGCATACTTTGTAGATCGGCGGTGTGTTGCTGTCGCATCTGCTCGATCAGTCTCCTCAATGCTGCTTCGCTGTCCATGGTAGTTGTGTGATTTACGTCGTCTGTTGCGCGTCTACTATGGCTTCGGGTGAAAACCATAAGTTTGGCCGATAAGAGCTGTCTTGATTGGCCCCACGGTGGGCGCCAAATGTTCTTACCGGAGATCTGTTGTAGAGATGATTCGCCAAGTAAGATTGGTGAGCCTCTTTCACTGGTACGTTGATGCTTCAAGATGGGGGTGATACCTGCAAAAGAGACTCCGATGCTAAAGTTAGTCTTTGTGGGAGTATGAGTCTCGTATAAGTAATGCAAGTAGCTTTGTGTGGATTAGGGTTTTTCTGGGCCTTGGGCCCGAGATCAGTTTATGACCTAATTGGATGTAGGGCTGACGTGGCCTAGCGCGTGTCCGAGGTCACTTGCGCTGAGATGCCCAGCTCGAGCTCGGCATAGCGGTACGGATAGTACAATTTGGATATAGTAATTTGATTCCATCATGATAAAATTGATTTTAAAAATATATTCATATATTGAGAATTTTAAATTAAATTTTATAAAAATAAATATTAACTAAATTTAAAATATTTAATAATTTTAAAAATTAATATTAGGTAATATTTAATAATTTTAAAAATATTTTTGAATATTTAATAATTAAAAGCATGAAGAGATAAAATAAAATATATAAGTAAAATAAAAAAACAAATATGAAAATTTTCAAATTCTTACTTTTCTCTCTTTCAAGAAAATTTGAAATTCTACTATTTTAAAGAATTTCACAAATATTTAAATTTCAAATTCTTTGTCAATTTTACATCCAAACAAAAAATTTCATTTCAAGGAATTTGAAAATTTTCAAATAAATAAATTATCCTATTTAAATTTCTCATCTAAACACACTCTATGTTTTTTTTTCTTTTCTAAACCACATGTATCCTCCAATTGAGACAATATTGTTTGAAACGAAAACGATAATTGAGCGGCGAAACTCTCTCTCTGAGTATTTTACTACAGTTATATAAAATCATAAAATTTTAACATGAAGTAATAAAAAAATATGGTACATGGATGAAGCATTATTTTTTACCATTAGATTTAATATTATAATAATCAACAATTTAGATTTGTAACCGGTAACTTGGAAATATTTATTTTTGTATTTTGCAGATTAGTCCTTGTGTAAAAATATAGAAGGCTTCGCTGTTGCTGTGTGATCGTACCTCCATTGCCACCGTGCGAAGGAGGTTGCGCCTCCGCTGCCACCGCGCAAAGGAAGTCGCGCTTCCGCTGCCACTGCTTGAAGGAACTCGCACCTCCGCTGCCACCGCGTGAATGAAGCCGCACTTTCGCTACCACCGCGTGAACGAAGCCGCACTTCCGCTGCCACCGTTTAAAGGAGCCTGCGGCTCCGCTACCACCGCACTAATGAGGTCGCACTTTCGATGCCACCGCCCGAAGGAGCCCGCACCTCCGCTACCACCGCACGAAGGAGGTCACGCCTGTGCTACCACCACCGTGTAAGGAAACGACACCTCCACGACCACCGTGCATCCGCCACCATCGTGCCTCCACATATAATATAAGGACTATTTTGCAAATATAAACAAGTTAAAAAACTTGCTATTGCCGGTAAATTTTCTATCTCATGAATGAGGCATGGACCATAATACTTCATGTTAGAAACACTCTATAAACTCGAGATTACTAGTTAAGCTGGAGCGTGCATACCGGTTGACACATGTGATCCTCGACTATATGAACTCTAATATAATAACTCTATTGAACAAGTACTTAATTCATCTACTTAACTAAATGCAAAGGTGCAGGACCAAATATGAAACCCCAAATGTGGTAGTAAAAAACAGATGCAAAGAGAGCATAGGATGATTAAGTAATATTATCCTGAGAAATTGGTTCCCATGTGAAAAGAAAGAGTGCAGCCAAGGTGATGGATGAAATGCGAAAGAGAATAAAGATAGAATAGAGAAAAAGGGATACCCAAACTTGTTCTTCTTAGGGGGATCAGTGAAAAGAATCTTTGCGCCGATCATGATGTCGAGATTCTCCAGTTAACGATACCTTTCATCGGAGATGTAATTGTTGTTGTTGTTGGCTGAAGTACAAAAGGAGTAATTGGTCTTAGCGTTGATGGAGAATGAGGTTGTCAGAAACTTGAATCGCTCTGAAAAGCGCCACCACCTTACTCCGCCGCCAAACATAGATGAATCATAGAAAACAAAACATCCACCACTACCAACTTCAATTCAAAATTCGGATCCAGAATAACCACCCATTTTCGCTATAACAAAACTGATTTTTGCTGCAAGTGCTTAAAGAATTTTAAAGTTTTTTTTTTTTTTTTAAAAAAAATTTGATCAGGAGAATTTTAATCACATTGTTTCGGGCTAACTCCAACAAATACAAAACGAATTAAATCAGTTCAAATTAAATTAAATTAATTGAAATTCGATGATGATTAAATTGGATATTGAATTCACACTTTGAAAACTTGAACTAACTTGGAAGAATATAATTATTTAGCTAAATTATCCTTTGTCTTTTATAATATTTTTATATTTATTTTAATATTTTATTTGTTAAAATTATTATTTTTATTCTTTAACTTTTATATTTAGATTGAATTATTTTTTTTTAAATAATGATTTTGAATAATTTTTATTTGTAATATTAAATTTACTTATATTAAATTTAATTGACATAAAAAATATATTTATGAATAATTAAAAAATAATATAAAATTAATTTTTTATATTTTTAAACTTATTTTT